AAGATCTGCACGCAACCAACACCGAACAGATCGAAGCATCAACCGCACCTAATGAAAATGACCACAACCACCGCCACCTGCACCAACCACCGCCGACCACCAAAACGCAGTAGACGGCACCCATAGCCACTGGCTCAGCCACCACCACCACCAAATTGCAACAAATAGCACACATCTACTACCGCCACAGCCTCCACCACCTCGCAGTTGATCGCACACAGCCACCACATCTGCCAACACCAAGTTCGGGACCCGAAATGACCACGAAAATCGCGACCCAAACACTCCTTCACGCAAAAAAAGAAAAGATCTGCTCGCAAAAAATGGATCTGCACGCACAAACACCCCTCCACCACTTGCAGTGGCTTCACAGAGAAGGAGAGGAGAGAACGGGAGGAGATGAGATGAGACGGCGCATCGTCGCCGCTTCAAGGTTTGACAGGGAGGAGAGACGGCGACGGGGAAGAACGACAATGGAGGATGGGTGAGACTGGGAAGAACAGATGGCAGGAAAGGTGGTGCAACTATCGATCGTCGGCTTAGGTGCCGGCGATGTGGTGCGCCGGCAGGTGGTGGTGGCGGGAATTGGGAGAGAGGGGAGAGGGGAGAGAATGGATGGCAGGGGAGAGAAATGGGAGAGAAAATGAGAGAATTAGGGTTTAAAATGGTATATGATTGATTTAAATAGAAATTAATTTAAAAATCATTAAATAAAAACCTGATTTATGTATTATTAAAGTTGTTTTTGGATTTATGAAAATGAAAGTTTAAAAACATGTGAGGGTGTAATTTCCTCTATTAATAATACTAAAACATTTAAGTGTTGTTAAGTGATAGACACTACGAAAGTTAGAATTACGTGATTCATTTAATTATACCTCACAATTAATGTCACACTAGTGTCATATAGATTGGTGTTTTAGCACTATTTGTGCTAAATAACATTACTTCAATTAAAAAGATTTTTTCTGGGAAATGAGTTTTGAAATAGATTTCGTTTCACCGTGTAATCAAGTGGATTCCAGAAGGCAAGGCAAAATGCTTTGACATTCTTTTGATCAAAATTTTTGTTTTGAGCATGACAAGCCCTACCTATAGGGGTGGTAAAAGGGTTGAATAGCTCGTCAAGGTTCGGCCCATGGACGGCTCGAACTCATTTCGGGACTAGCCCGAGTTGAGCAAGGGGTTCATTAGGCTTGCTCGGCTCGGCTCGTCGAGCTCGCGAACGACTTGTAGGCATGGCCCTCGAGCCTAAAGTTCATGAGCCTACGAGCTCATGGGCTCGTAAAAAATGTGAAAAATAAAAAAAATAAAAAAAATCTCAAGCTCATCCCATTACCACCATTACCTACCTATTGTTGCCGACATATCCATACGTCAAATTTTAGCTTATTTACTTTTTCTAATTTTATGAACATTTAGTTTATGTTGATGTACATGGCCATTGTTTCAACCCCATTAATCTCCCACATAATCACAATCGTTATCTGACTTGGCAAAATTCTTATTGAATTGGTATATTTATTGCTCTCTGCTTTTTTTAATTAAATTGAAATAATGTGGTTTTGTGTTTACTAAATTATGTGGGTTCGGAAATAGTTTAGAATAACAGGGAAAAACAAAGGCATTTTTCCCAGTTGTAGGAAGCTTGTACACTACTTGTTGAATTGCCCATCAAAGCAACGATGCCCAAATTGTGGGTTGGGGTTCGTGAAATGTATGGAGAGAATGTCTACTCTTTATTAGAAATTTCAGCTCCAAAACAAATTCTAAGGTAATATATGCTCTCTGTCACTTTTACTATCTACATGGAGAAGATGCCGATGCATGAAAGTAGTGCAAAAAATTGTTGTCGACTTACCTTCAAGAGGTCCCACCATGGACACACCTCACTCAGTTCAACTGATTCAAGAAAACCTTTTGATTGTAGGCTATTATAGAATTGGGGGACTAGGGATTCACCCAGGGTTTCACCTTATGTTTTTGGAGATTTCGTTCCAATTGCAACGGGAGGAGAGTAACCTAAATTATGTACAAGTAGAGTTATTCCAATTCCAATTACATGGCGTTGACATGTAACCTAAATTATGTACAAGTAGAGTTATTCTTAATAATTTAACATGCCATGTCTCCATACTTTAGCCATGAAGGCAACATTATCAGCGGTTTCCATCCGGTAGCCAAAGAAATTGAACGGAGTAAAGTTGAATGGCTAATTGGATAAGTTTTAAAGATCGATGACTAAGCCGTGACATGTATCAAACATTTAGATCTGCAATGGTGCGAAATTAAACCCGAAACCCATATCGTACGGCCGATTCTTACATAACCATGTCGACCCTGAAAGAGATCCTCACTCGGCGGCCGGTGGCTGCGACGATCCGTTTAACAGTTCCGGCGGGAGGGGCGAAGCCGGCGCCTCCAGTGGGTCCGGCTTTGGGTCAGTACAGGCTGAATCTGATGGCCTTCTGCAAGGATTTCAACGCGAGGACCCAGAAATACAAGCCCGATACGCCCATGGCGATTACCATAACGGCGTTCACGGACAACACTTTTGAGTTCATTGTCAAGTCCCCCTCCGTAACGTGGTACCTGAAGAAGGCGGCGGGCATAGAAAACGGGAGTAGCCGGCCGGGTCACGTGACAGCCTCCACTATCACCCTCAAGCACGTGTACGAAATTGCCAAGATCAAGCAGAGTGATCCTTTCTGTCAGTACATGTCCTTGGAGTCCATTTGTAAGTCCATTATTGGGACCGCTAATTCCATGGGGATTAAGGTCCAGAAGGAGCTCGATTAATTTGAAAACGACTGGAATTTAGTAGAAATTTCGAGTGAGCAATGGGTTATAAAGATAATGTATGGTTCCCAATGTGTGATTTTCGTGTTTTTGTTTCTCTGCTCTGTCCTGGAGGATTCAGATGTGCTGATTAGGTTAGAGTTTTAGTACAAGGAGGAAAAATTCTTGAGCAGCATGTTCAAATTTATGTCACTTTGTATTGAATTTTTCGTCAGATTTTGGTTCCAACTGCCTAATGACATTCAGTTGAACATGGCTCCAGATAAAAATGTGTTAGCTTAAATGCTTTATACGAAAGTAATGATAAGTACAGTAATATAACATGTCCAATTGTCTCAATGCTATTACCCGACTGACTCTTTGCTAAGAGAAAATGTGCTGCGGGAACTAGCATTAAAGGAACTATTTACATTTAAATCCTGATTTTTATTTTTATTCTTTCAATAGGAAAGAAATCATTGAGGAACATAGAGATTACCTTCATAATAAAGCAGTATGTTTGACAATTGCCGCATTCCATTGTTGTAGCTTAAACATGCTAGATGCACATAAAATGATGATTCTCTCCGATGGTTGCTTTATGTTTTGATTCTAGTAGTACTTGACATGGCTTAAAAGATCTTAGAATGAACAGATCAAGTTGCTTTTTTTTCCCTAGATAAAGATCATTGATGTTAGGTAGGTATTGAAATTTGATGTTTTTAATTTGTTTTGTTTCCACAAAGGTCATCAATCCAAGCAACCTGGAGGATGGATGGCCAGAGTTCCTTATGGTTCTCATGGCTTCCAAGAGATTAAGTTTTTAGATGACAAATCAAACAAAATAGGAGCTCTCTAAATAGTAGGTGCAGAAATGTTTTGCCATATCCAAATTCTTGATTTACTTTGTGCTATAGTGATCCGAGCAATTTGTCTATTTAAAACTTTGATTCTATGTTTATGTTGTGCAACTTGGAAAATTGCCTACCAGAATGGAGATGAAAACTAAATGCTGCACATCCTTATCATTGTTAATTGTTATAAATCAATCTGATCTAGCATATCCATGGCCTTGTAAACTACTATACTATCACATTTCTTGATTGATAGAGAACTTTTGTGATTTCATCTTGATGCCATTTTCCATATCATGAAGAATTTTGAGGTCAGAATCCTCTTGTGAGTTCTTACCCATCTTCTATCCCTGTTAAAAAATGTGCATTTACAGTATTTGTAAGTTTCACTTTGTCTGAAGCTTCTTTGGTTGGATGTTGGTGGATTGACCCAAAATCTGTCTTAATCCCGTTTGGTAGGGTTTTAATAATATGTATTGTAGTGCACAATTTACTTTGTGGTGAATTATTACTTTTCACTATCCAATGATAGCAGTCGTTGCCTGTTATTGCCTGCATAATTTTTCTCTTTTAGTTCATAATTATGAAAAAGAAAGTTTATTGTTGATTACTTCCACATCAAGATTGAGAAGAAACTGGATTAATTTGTGTTTTTGATACAAATGACTGACCTTGAGGGGATGTCTCTAAATAAAAGCAAGCATGCTTTTTAATCTATGTGGCAAAGAATGTATCCCTGTATTACTATCATCTTAAGCGATTCTAGGTGTTGTTTGTTCTATATTGACATTGTGGTCCTCTGCATTAGGCATTAACACCGTTTTATGATCTTCTTATGCTCCTGTGGGTGGATTATGTGAAGGCACATAGAAATATCTGGTTCTACAGGTTGTACAGGGCAGACAGGCTTCATATCTAGGTGTCTTGTACTAAAGATTTAGAACCTAATCTTAATTTTTACAGGTACTAGCATCGCTGGTATTAATTGAGAGAGGACATTGCAAGCTAGCAAAGGATTGCTTGTAGTAATATCTAGCAAAATCTATTGGAAAATCTACATATTTCTGTGATCAGAGACTAGTGATGATGAGGTTGTTGTTGATTAAAAAATCACGACTTCTTACCTATCAAAAAAAAAAAAAAATCACGAGTTCTTGGATTTTAATTTGATGCAGGTTTATACTTTTTTCCTTGGAATTTATTGCTTAATTTATTGTTTTGGGGAAAATTTGTTTGTATGATTGTGATGGCTATTTTGGGGTTACTCTGCAGTTAGTATATATTAGAGAAGCATGAATGCTCTGATGTTACCCATTGAGTGATAAAAAAAATGTTTCTGGCTTGGTTCTAAAACTTAAGGTTCGTTTGTAAGAGTGAAATTTTGGTGGAAAGATGATTCAAGGAATTAAATTGCCACAATTGTTTTCTTGGGAATTGTTAATTAATTATATTTGATTGGTATAATTTTTCACCTGGAAAATATTGAAATTTTGGATCTTTTGATATTCGTTTGACTTTATTTTTCATAGAAATTGTACATTAAAGGGAAAAATCTTTTTACAAGTAAGAATATAATTTGTTTTCATTGTCCAAAAAATAAAATAAAAAAAAGTGTAAGCTATATGTGTTGTACAGTACCCCGAGACTTTTTGGTAGTTGTATTGGATAGTATCAACAAATTGAAACCCTTATGTATGCTGCCTATATCTACAACTTGCTGGCAAAACATTAATTTCTTGAATGCCTTTCCAAAGTTTTTTATGGCCCCATGTTTTAATTTGTTCATAACAGCCCTACATTCAAGAAACTGTTTCCAGAATACGTTGACAAGTATGAAGAGCAGCTTGCAGCCGAGAAATCTAAACTTGTGCAGGACACATCTGCACATACTCAAGATGGACTCTGAAACCCTTTGTTAGAGAAACATGGGGCAAAGGCAGAGTTGAAAAGAATCGAAGCTCCAAAGGAGTTAAATAACCAGAGGAAGCAATCTTTTCCAGTTTGGTTGTTGCTGTTACTGCTTTCCATTTTTGGTGTTGTAATGGCTCTGCTACTACTACAACTTTGATAGACAAGGGGTGTAAATTATGAGAGAGAGAGAGTGTGTGTGGACATGTGAGCATTTCAAACCTTGATCGACTCTTAAGCAAATTGATGTCCTGGCTGGCAGCACACTTCTTACTACGTTCATATCATATTTGACATGACAATGTACTGAATATATTGTTAACTTAGTGAGAATTCGAATATTCCCTGTTTTGACTAAAAGGTTGAAGATGTTAAGATTTGAAGGGTGAGGATTCACTTTTCACAATTTGAAGAGTTCTGGGTGCCATTTTCCTAGGTAATTTTGGTGATAATTGGTGCAATCTCTCAATTATGAAGATCTTTGTTGTGATATCTAGTTTGATGAGCTTTCGTCTTAGTTTTTATGTCTCTATTGTGCAATCTCCCATTATGAATCTCCCTCCGTCATGTGGTACCTAAGAAGGCAGTGAGTGACGGAAAGGATATCAGCCGACTGGATCGCGTGACACATCCACTATCACCCTTCAGCATGGAGTTAATTGTTTCAACACTTACTAAACTTTATACAACGTCACATTTCCTTCACTGAACTTTATAAAGCTTGGGAGTAACAATGATAAATTATCAATTTAAATTTTAGAACATAATCGAGGCAACATTGAAAGTTGCATAGAGATGAATGTATGCACAGTAATAATAATGAATTATAATAACTAATTGATTTCATCGGTGAGAGAGGGAGATATTTTATGCACGCACAAAAAATATATATATAAATGAGAGAAAATTATATACAACTTTACGGGGTAAGAGAGAAGTTTACGGGGTGCAAAAAATACTGGGATTTGACTAATTCTTTTCTTTAACCTAAAAGAAAAATCGTGGTTGCAGAAAACTAGCTGATACACAAATTGCCAAAATAAATGTAGTAAATTCGCTTTGACGTATATGTGTGTAGAAAAAATTCACACGTTACCAAATGAATTTTGGCACACTTGATAGATGATTATGCTTATAAAAATTATTACATTTTAAGAGAATTGTGCTGATAACGTGTCATAAAAAAGTGAAGGAGATGAAAGAATAGAAATTAATTGACTGTGTGTATTATAATAAGAATCAAAGTCCTATATTTATAGAGAAGTATTAGGGATACGATAATAATAATAATAATTTCTAGAGCTGTAAGAGTACAATTTTTATTCACTAATAAACTAACCGTTCACAACAATTATTTATTATTGTTTCCATTTCCGATATTTTCATGTTTCTTTTCTTTATTTGTTAACTTGAGATATGAATTTACAAAAATGAGATGAATATGAATTGAGATATGAGTATGAATTTATTTGTTCAAGTTCTTTCTTTTCTCTGTTAAATGGAGATGAATATGAATTTAGGAGATTTGGTAGTCTGCAGAATCTATGTTCATAAAGCCTGTTCCCTGGAGGGCAATCCAAGTTGAAGATCTGTCTTCTATGTTGTAGACTGGTGCTAAAATAATGTTGTAGCCTTTTTGTACAGTAACTTACACAGCCCACATTTTTGTGGACCCCATCCCATGTGTGTGGGCGGTGTAAATTACTGTGTACCAAGGCTGTACACCAAGCAAGGTTCATCCTAAATATTACTATCTGCAAGAGAAAAAGAGATGGAAAAGAAAGGGAAACAGAAGGAAGGAGCTCCACAAAATGTTTCCGCATGTTGACTATATTTGTTCTTGGTGTACAAAGTTCGTTATAATCGTGATATTTTATTCGATCATGACCGTATATGTATTTATTTATTAACAAGTTCGAATAATGTGAATCGACTGTATTTGTTCTTGGTGTTCGAAGTTCATTGTAATCGTGATATGTTATTCGATCATGACCGTATATGTATTTATTAACAAGTTCGAACTGTGAATTTCCAATATGGAATGGTCTCTTGTATCAATTAATAAGTAGATATTGTGATGTATTATTATGCTTGGAGCTAAACATAATCTTCAACCGGTTCGTCCATGTGCTTGCCAACGAGTCTTGCTCGAAATATAGAAATGAAATGGGTTGGCCTCTTACAAATTACTCCACGTTAATGTTTTCTTTTACATTTTTTAAATTTTAAAAGAAAATAAATTTAAATTTTCTGCTTTACAGGCAGAGAGCGGATGTAGAGCCATCTAGTGCACAAGGCTAATTAGGTTATTGTTCATGATCACGTGTTATGACAATGTCCAAAATTTTGAGAAGTCATATATTTTTATAAACTGAACTTCATGACACTCCAAAATTCAGAAGAAATTCACCAGAAAGATCGAAAAACAATGCAATTCGGGATTACAAAATAAATAGTTAAAACTATAATTTCTACCGAATCGAACTGGACTTGAAAGAAGAATTAAATCACTGTTTATTTCTTTTCTCAGCGACAACTAGCGATGTCAACGAGTCGAGCCGAGCCGAAAAAAAAAAGCTATAGCCGAGCCCGAGTTTTTTTTGGCCTGAGCCGAGCCTGACAAAAAAAAAAATGAGGCTTGGCCCGAGCCGGCTCGAATTTTTTGATTTTTTATTATTATTATTATTAAGGCAGCTAAAAATACAGGTAGCTTGCTAGCTGCCTGCAACAGGTAGCCGCAGCAATTGTCTTCAAAAAAAAAAATTTTTTTTTTAATAGGAGGCTCGCCCAGGCCACGGGCTGGCCCGGGCTCGAGCCGACTATTCAAAGTGGGGCTCGGTGCCGTCCGAGCTTTTTTGCCACCGCTAACGACAACCCTTCTTGACCTCACATCATTCCTGAATTTCACTCAGATCTCAGATTGTGCCCCGGAACACAAACCGCTAGTTTATGTCCTCAGTCGATCAATGACTTTCCTTAGAAGGGCACCCGTGTATTGAAGTTTGGATCTATCTTCAATGGGCTTTCTCAATTGGAATTTGGCCCAAAATAAAATTTAAAAAAAATGCTATTTAAGAAAATTATATCCTGCGGAAAAAAAAAAAATTTATAGTCAAATTTGCCCCAATAAACTTAGGAAGTGTCCAATCTTACAATTAAGATCCCATTCAATGTAGAGTTCTATTCAAAGTAGAATTCAATTATTTTAAGCTTGCAGCATGTGAATATGTGTGGTGCCGTGCAATTAGACAAAGTCCAACATCCTTATCCAAAATTGTATAGGCTCTTTATGTAAATTAAACTTCATTTGAATAGATAAGAAGCTGATATATCAAAGTTGGATTATGATTGATAGCAAAATTATGAGTCATCCATGTCAAAGACATTTGCCATTTATCATCTGTGGCCTACGTAAAAGAGCATCCCTCTGGTGAGATCCAGCTCAAATCATAGCTTGCATTTTATTCAAAGAGATGCATCGTGGGGTCGAGTTTTTAGTATGCTATAAAACGATAATGTCGGTCCATTAATTTACTTAAAATTGACCTTAATTGGATCATATCGACTAAGGTAAGATCAAATAGATGTCGATCAAAGTTAAATGAAACTGCCAACTCAACAAGATAGACACATGTTAATTTACAAATCAAGATAGTGATAAATTGAGAATAACATGTAAATTTAACGGTAATTTAAAGTTTCTCTTTCTAGGCATTTCCATTCAAGCTTGACCTAACATTTCTCTAAGGATTAGGTCATCTCTTATGGCAACACCAAATTTCACCAAAATTTGGTGCAAAAGTGCTCCAATGTGACACAAATTTTGCACAATTTTGGAAAAATGGTGCAAAGTTTAATTTGCCAAAAGAATTGTTGGAAGGTATTTGTGTCATTTGTGTTATATAATTTTTGAAACAATTATTATTATTATTATTATTATTATTATTATTATTATTATTATTATTATTATTATTATTATTATTATTTGCATTTAAAATAAAATTTAAATGTTTAAGCAAATTGATGTCCTGGCTGGCACGACTCTTAAGCAAATTGATGTCCTGGCTGGCAGCACACTTTTTACTACGTTCATATCATATTTGACATGACAATGTACTGAATATATTGTTAACTAGTGAGAATTCGAATATTCCCTGTTTTGACTAAAAGGTTGAAGATGTTAAGATTTGAAGGGTGAGGATTCACTTTTCACAATTTGAAGAGTTCTGGGTGCCATTTTCCTAGGTAATTTTTGTGATAATTGGTGCAATCTCTCAATTATGAAGATCTTTGTTGTGATATCTAGTTTGATGAGCTTTCGTCTTAGTTTTTATGTCTCTATTGTGCAATCTCTCATTATGAATCTCCCTCCGTCATGTGGTCCCTAAGAAGGCAGCGAGTGACGGAAAAGTTATCAGCTGACTGGATCGCGTGACACATCCACTATCACCCTTCAGCATGGAGTTAATTGTTTCAACACTTACTAAATTTTATACAACGTCACATTTCATTCACTGAACTTTATAAAGTTTGGGAGTAACAATGATAAATTATCAATTTAAATTTTAGAATATAATTGAGGCAACATTGAAAGTTGCATAGAGATGAATGTGTGCACAGTGATAATAATGAATTATAATAACTAATTGATTTCATCGGTGAGAGGGAGAGATTTTATGCACGCACAAAAAAAAAAAAAAAAGAGAGAAAATTATATACAACTTTAAGGGGTAAGAGAAGTTTACGGGCTGCAAAAAATACGTGCAATGAATGAATGACTTATCAACCGTGAATCTCTCGTGATTGCTGAAAACTAATTCTTTTGACTAGCGTCCAATATTCTGGTATTTGACTAATTCTTTTCTTTAACCTAAGAAAAGAACAATGCTAGAGTTACATCAATTTTGACAGCCCTCTCACATACATTTGGTGGGGTCCACGATTAAAATAATTGTGGGCCCCACCCATGGGAGAGGGCTGTCAAAATTGCTGTACAATTTTGATTGTACAT